TCTCCAGGCTGCTTCGGCGGTCTCAGCTTCCAGTTCTCCTCTGCAACCTCCTCCCGTGGATTCTCCTAGGGTCTCAGGTACCCCTCCTTCCAGCCCTCGTCCGCTGTATGCTCGTCTTCTTGCTTCTTTTTTCTAATTTCTGATAGAATCTGTCTTTTCTGCAGAGACACTTTGTCTGGCGGTGTTTCTCGTCCGCCATCTTGATCCTCCCCATCGCAGTAGTAGTTATTAACACCAATAATTTTTATAAAGTTGTATTTTTACATTCATGTTGCATTTCAGTTAGCAGTTATTTCCAAATATAATTTATATAATACTGTCTGAGCTCTAAAATTTTAGGTAAATACATAGAATTTTATTGGTAGCAGTCCTATAAAACACACTCACATGGAATTTACTTTCCCCCAAATTCCAAAAGCAACATTTTGAATATTTGGTACTAAAAGCCTATGCGATATGAATCACAGTGTTTTCATTAACTTCACTGATACTAGATATTTGACCATTGGTATTTCTTAGAATTTGAATGGGCAACTGATGGCAACTTCTATTTACTTGTATGAATTCTATTTCTTCTGCAGTTAAATTTCACTTGAACTTTGATTGCTGGGTTTCTTAATAGGAATTAGGAATAGGAATTTCTTAATAGGAATCTGCCACCCATGGTGATGTGAGGTATTGTCCATCTTCGCTATAGGTTTCATAAAAGGAAATGTTTATTATCTGTTTGCTTAACTATTCCCTTGAAAATGGCAACTTCATCCAAACAGGCTCCCTGTTCTCACGGCCCCTCCCCACTCGCAGGGTAGGAGTGAGAGGGTCCTGAGCCACAGCCAGGGGACTCCAGACTCTGTATTCCAACCTCCGCAGCTCGCCAGGCCTCCTGCCCGGGCATTTGCTGAACCAGGAACACAGGCCGGGCTTTGGCCATGGTAATCTTATAAACTCTTGCATTTTCTTCTCTGACAGCTCAAGGGATGCTAACTCAGACGTTCTCTGATGTGCAGGCTCCTTTCGGGCTCTGTGGCTAAGTGTCCCCCGCCTGAGGGCAACTAGACTGGCTCCCTGCAAGGCCTCAGTGTCCTCATCTAGGTCAGGGCTTTTTATCCCCTGCCCACGCCTAGCAAAGAAACCGAGCCAATTATCTTTCTATAGAAACATTATTCATGAAATTCCTCAGGCAAATTTAATGTGGCTAAACAAACACAGAATACAACTCTTAATAAGAAAAAACAAAACCTACAGCGCACTGGAATGAGTCATGGAGGCAGGTGCAATACCCTCTGGCAGAAAGCAGCCACCCTCTGACTGGCTGACAAGCGGGTGGGTATGGGACTGGACGTGGAAGGAGACCTTACATTCTGGAAATGCCAAAATGCCTGCCTCAGATATGTGCCTTGCTTTCTCATTATTGTTGGCTAGCATGCAACATTTTAGAAAGCATCATAAAAAATAAACATGCACAAAAAATGTAGTATCAAAGAGTAGACATTAGCAAAAAGTACAACAAATGAGTGGGCTTATCCGGGAAGTTTGGGCTATACAGAACTGCTATAATATTTTAAACTAGAAAAAGTGTTTGAAAAATTCAAAAAGAGGAAAATCTTTTTTATTAATATTGCTTTAATTGAAAAATCATAATCATATGTTTGTGAGGTACAGTGTGATGTTGTGATATACATATACAACTGGAATGATTAAATTGAGCTAATTGACATCTTTTATCATCTTGCTTACTTATTTTTTTGTGGTGAAACATTTGAAATTTTCTCTAAGAAGAGGCAAACATTATAACTCAATATCTGAATGAGAAAATGCACAATTAAGCACTTTTCATGAATTATACACATCTCACAAATATATGGTCCATAAATTACCCAGAGTACATATTCTATTTCAGGCATTATTATGTACTTTGCATCATGTCTTAGTATCTTAGTTCATTTAATCTTCACTTAATTTTGGGGAAAACTGAAGCTCAGATATTTTATTATTTAGTATAGAATATTAAAGCCCCTGGCACAACCATGAAATGGAGAGTGGATTTTGCCCTACCTGCAGTAGCACACGACCACCAGGAAACATGACGAGACATTCACATTCTGTCACCCCTTGAACAGAATGACACGGATCCACTCATGGCCTTATGAGGTAACCTTTAGTTGCTAGATTTGCTTTTTTTATAGGACACTAATTGTCTAACCATTAAGCCCTATTGTTTTGGAAAACAGGATTTTTTTTCTTACCATGTTAGAATATGTGGTGAAGTCTGAAAAGAGATACATGGCTTTTGTTCTTGGTTTTCATATCAAGAAAAGGAGTCATATCAAGGAGTCTTTCATATCAAGGAGTCTCCATCTGACTCCTCAGAACATATCCAATATTTCATCCTGCACTGTCAGTTAATAACAAGCTATGGTTAATCCAGGAGATGGACAGGGTTGTAAATGTTATTTCAATTCAAGGAACTAGAACGAGGCCCGAAAACCTCCATGTCTTTCCTCTCAAATGCCAAATTCACTGACTATCAGGCATTTGTTACTAGTCTGGTCAATCTTAGACATGAATGAGAGCTTGTTCTTTATATTAGGAGAAAAAAATACAAACATGCTTCAACTTAGAGGCTGCTTCCCTTGTTCTGAATCAACTGAATTTTTCCCTTATTAAATATATTGTAGTATGTCTGTCTACCCCTGGCCAACCTCCAAACTAAAGAAAGCATTTATTTTTTCTTTCTTTGTACTTTACCATTGCATATGAAGTCATCAAAGATCACTGCATATGACTAAACTCAAATATTAGCACATGATTCTTGGCCTGATAACAAGGTAACTGTCAGACATAAATGCAAACTAATAGTTTAGTTATATGACAAATCCATTAAAAGGGGAAAGGTAGTCAATTTATACCTGCTTTCTAAAAAGTATGTCATTGCAACCTTGATGCATTGAATTTTGAAAGACTTTCTTTCAACTGTATGCAGAGCATACTGTGAAATCAATGATTTAAATAACTTGATAAGAGCTGGAGAATACACATATTCCAAATAGCTTCCTCTGCCTAAGTTAAAATTTATATCCCATTTGGGAAGAGTCTTTGGATGACATGAACTACAATCTTATTTATAAATGTGAATATAATTTCTATATTTTATTCATGGTAATGAAGAAACTGTTGAAATCCAGAGGTAATCTGCAAATTTTATGTTCTATGTTCATCTGTTATTCCAAATATTCCCTTGCTTTTTAAATATATAAGCATTAAAGGAAGCCAGGTTGACTGATTTTCTCTGTTGGTGGTGATACTGATTAGTTCCAGGAGCCAAAAAATAAATAACTAAACTAGTATTTATAAACTGAAGCAAAATTTTATTCAAGGATTAGATTCTAAAATCAATGGATATACTCAAATTTGAGGATACTTGCAATTATTACAGAGTAATAGTAACATTAAAAAGACCAATATCACTGTTGGCAAGGATGTGAAAAAACGGAAACTCACACTTTGCTTGAGGGGAGCCAATTGCTAGTCACTTCTAAAATCTATTTGGGCCACTTACTAAAGGTAAACATATACTTGCATATGTTAAGTCTTCATGGCTCTGAGATTTGTGAGTGTGTTTTCATAAAAACACCTGCATAAGAATGTTCATAGCAGTTTGTTTATAATAGTCCCAAATTGGATGCTATTCAAATGTCTGTCGACTGTACAATATATAAATAAATTATAGCATATTCATATAACAGAATGCTATTTGCAGTAAAAAAGAACATCCTTCTACTATACAAAATAACATGGATAAGTTTCATAAACATAATGCTGGGCAAAAGAAGCCAGACAGCAAAGAATAAACACTAGGTTTTCTGTTTTCACTTAGCACACAGAAAGTAAGAAAAGAGGTATCTCCCAATCAAACAATGAGAAAATGTAGGCACAGTACAAAATAATAACTTTGAGCCCATCAGAGAACTAGGTTCACAGGGCTGCCCAAGGAGCCTGAATCCTAAAGAAGGACAAGCCCCTTCAAGGACAGAGATGCATGCTGACAGACATGTGGCAGAGCACAGAGAAGGAGGCACCAGCTATCTCACAAATGGGTAAAAAGAAGTAGCTAAATTTAAAAAAAATATATATGCTAAAGGCCAAGTATGGACTACTGTGCCAATATAGATCCATCCCTTGGGAAGCCATGGAGAAATAAAACTTCCCTGGATTCCTCAGGGGTCTTGTAAAAAGCTTTGTCCTCCTGCGATAGGGAGAGAAATGTATATAACACAAAAATGGAAAATATTTGCTTTCAATACTCCTAGGAACATGTTATTCTTCACATACCATTGGAATTAAATCAGTGGCCATTTGTCTAGTTTATTGCTATGATCCAAAAGGACAATAAAACTTCTCTTACTTTTCAAGTACACAAAAATTGTTACAGCCTGAACTGGTTCCCTAGGTTAAGCCCTAAAGTGCTAGGGAGCTTAGGAAGCTCTCGCTCTCTGTGTATTTACATTTCAAACACTGTATACCCAGACTTTAGCGACATCTCTAGGCATTAAAAGCCATAGGTTCCAGGGGTTTAACTGGCCCGGGAAAAGATGTATTTACATTGCAAAAGATAAGGGCAAGCATACAGGATGATTTTCACTTAATTTTGAAGACAGAAAATCTTTTATATTGTTGTATTCTCTTTTTTTTTAGAGGGGAAGAAATCAGTTGTCTCTTACTCACGTTCTCATTGTTCTCACTCTCATTGTTCTCCAACTCTGGCTTATGGAGGGCTTGGCTGGTCATGTAGGAGAGTTTTCCATTTGGCTTTCATTTCATTGCACAAGGGGTAATGTATGTGAAAAGAAAGACTATCATACGTATTATTTACTGTAAGATACTAACAAGAAACCTGTCCTACATCCAGGACACTTTGTTTTCACATTCAGAATAATATAAATAAAGATGAAAATCAGAAACTCAATATAGCCTCACACACAAGGAGGCTTCACACTCACCCATGGGCTCTTTTCCATGAAAGTCCATGGGGTGCTCAGGAGAAAGCTGTGTGGCAGCGTAGAAGACCAGAGAGAACTTCCACGTATGAGGCTGGTGCACAGGAGAGGAATGGAAGCTGCTGGAGAAAGGCACAAAAACTTCAGCCACCTTTCCAGACCCAAGTCTCACACAAAGCAAAAGCCTTAAAATGCCAGGAGACTGACAACCAGCCCTCTCACCCTCAGGGTACTGGAAAAGATCGATCATGGGCTGGTATAGATGCAAAACAAAACAAAACAAAACAAAATGAAACAGGATGTAGTCTTGGACCCAGTGTCTTATATCAGCACCATTTGAAATCTTGCACTACTATAGGAGATGGAAGAAACCCTCCCCTGCACAGGCTCTGTCACAGGTAAAGGGCAGCACTTGGCCAGCACAAGGAGCAGGGCAGGGACATTGAATAAAATGCATTCCCAAGGCCTGCCTGGGACTCTGGCTTGAATAAAACGATAAACAACCACATGTGCCACGTACTGCCAGCCTAGTAATCATCAATAACAAGCAATGAAGGCCTGTTGTTTCCAGAGGGGCAAGGGCATACCGGGAGCATGCAGATGGAAGTGAGAGCTGACTATAGTACACTGAGAAAAATATTCCAGCATCCAGCCTTCAACCTAAGCTCAAGGTGATGGCAACCAATCGCCAGTGGAAAGTATGCATAGCAAAAATAAAACACTGTGCCAGTTAAGCTTCAGACTCGAGTCACTCCAACTACCACAACCAATGTTTGAGATAAGAAGAGGTATGCCTATTTTTAGGTGTTAATATGATCTACTTCAGTTTCTACTATATTCCACATGATATACAGGATTTGATAAAAAATTAAACATACACACAAATTAGGTTTAAAAATGTCAAGATCAAAAACAATAAATATAACAAGACATAGAGATGACCCAGGCTCTGAAACTATTAGAAAAAGTCTTTAAAAAATAATGATCAATATGTTAAAGGGGACAACATTCATGAACAGATGGGAAAATTTTAAAAGAGAGATGGAAAATATAAGACATTGACAAGTGAAAATGCTAAAATTTTAGCAAAGTATGAGAAATCAATAATCATTTTTGTACTCATAAATAGACTCAAGACAGTTACGAAAATAATGGATGAATCTGAAGACATATTACTAGAAATGACCAAAGCTGAAATGGGAAAAAACAAAACAAAAAGGGTTTAAAACACAACTAAAAATAACAGAATATACATAAGTTGTGGGATAATATCAAATAATCTAACACATGTATAATTGGAGGTCCAGGAAAAAAGAAAAAAAAGAGGGAAGGTGGCAGAAAAAATATTTGAAGAGATAATGGGTAAGAATTTTTTTAAAAATGAATAAAAGGCATCAAACTTAGAAAACACAGATTATTCCAAAACAGATAGATGAAACAACAACAAAATTCTGGACTTATCATATTCAAACTGCTGAAAATCAAGTATAAAAGGATAATCTTGAAGGCTACCATAAAAAAGGATACATTCCATATAGAAAAAAAAAATAAGAACTATAGACAATTTCTCATTAAAATTAAGCAAGCCAGAAAACACTGGAGTGGCATGTAAGTGACACTTTTAGATGCCAAAAGGAAAACAAAAGTCTGTCAATGAGAATTTTATACCCAGTGAAAATGCCTTTAAAAAATGAAGATAAAAGAAAAACACATATACTAATGACACAGAGTAGAAAGTAAAAAAAATAGTAGAAAGTAAAAATAGAGTTCAAATGTTTTTATAACATATTTGCTAAAGAAATTTAATGGAGGAAAGATAATTTTTCAAAAAGCTGGTGCTAAAAATTTGGGCATCCATATGTAAAACAAACAAAACTCAAACTATACTTTGAACCACGTTGAAAATTAACATTAAATACATTTTGAATTTAAAGCTAGGATTAAACTAAACTAAAACCAGGACATTTCCAGAAGAAAACACTGAAGACAATATTAAGACCTTAGGAAAACCAAAGATTTCTTAGCACCCAAAAACACAATATAAAATTTAAGAAGTGTATGTTAGACGTGATCAAATTTTAAAAGTCTGCTTTTGGAAAGACATTGTTGAAAAAAACTTGTATTCAGAATATAGAAAAAGGACTGTCACAATTTGTCATGGACTAAATGTCTGTGTACCCCTAAAATTCATTTGGTGATACCCTAATCACAACGTGATGGTGTGAGAAGGTGGGGCCTTCGGACGGTAAATAGGACATGAGCACAGAGTCCTCGTGAGTAAGATCAGTGCCTTCTGAAGAAAGAACATGACACCTTCTCTCTTTCTCTGTCCCTCCCACCTATAAGGATAGAAAAAGTACCATCTGCAAACCAGGAAGTGAGTCCTCACCATACACTGGATCCAGGAGATCCAGTGTATCTATTTGTACCTTGAAACTGAACCTTTTAAGCCACCACAAATGTGGGAAATAAATGTTTTGTTACTTAAACCAACCCATCTGTTGTATTTATTATACCAGCCTGAACTGATAATACACAACTCAATAAGACAACTCAATGAAAATGAACAAAATATTTGAACAGACACTTCATTAAAGGACATATGAAGGTAAACATAAAGGATGCAAAATGACTTGATATCATAAGTCATTAGAGAAAATACGATTATAACCACAGTTTTATGCTATTACATACACACTGGCAAGAATGTAGAGCAAAACTTGAAGTATCAAGGATTGCTGGTGCAAAATATAAAAGGCCCCACTGCTTTGGGAAACAGTCTCGTGTGGCTAGACAGCTGTTTACCACATGGCCTTGCAAGCTCTCTTCTAGGGCTTTACTCAACAGAAATGAAAATACACATCAAGTGAAACTTCTGTAGGTGAATATCTACATCTATCTGTCTTTATTTATAATCACCCCAAAACTAGAAACATTTCAAACGTACTGATACAACCAACAACCAGGATGGACCACGGGTGATTCATGCTGGTGACATAAGCCAGACTCACAGGCTACAGCCGCGTGGCCCCGTGTACATAGCTGTCAGGACAGGCAAACAGACGCAGCCGCTGTGTCGGGACCGGCTTTCAGGGAAGGGGCACTGTCGGTACGGGACGTGGGGGAAGCGTGCTTGTCGGTGAGATGTTTCCTGTCTTGTGTGTGGCACTGCTTACACGACCGTGGGCATTAGTCAAATTCACAGATCACCTGAAAATGGTGATCTACTACATGTAAACTGTACCTCAACAAAGCTTTTTATTAAAAGTATATACTTCATGATTGCATTTATATGCAGTTCAAGAACAGATAAAACTTTCACCGTGTGAGAGAATACCAGTAATCTCAGGGTGTAGAGGATGATATTCATCCTCTCGTGAGCGAATTCTGAGATACCAGAGATGCTCCATATCTTTCCTTCATATGACGGTACATAGGTGTGCACATGGGCAAAAATACATGGATCTATACACTGAAGATGTGTGAGTGTGTACATATGTGGCAGAATATATGTATATTATGTATATGTGTGTATATGTGTGCATATATGTTATACTTGAGTTTAAAAGCTCTGTAGAAAAATACACTTGGCCTTCAGTATCTGTGGGTTCTGAATCCCTGGATTCAACCAACTGTAGATTGAAAATATTGAGGAAAAAAAAGATGTTTGTATCCGTACTGAACAAGTACAGATTTTCTTCCCTTGTCATTATTCCCTAAATGATACATTATAACAACCATTTACATGGAATGTATATTGTATTAGATATTATAAGTAATCTAGAGATGATTTAAAACATAGGGAAGGATGTGTGTAGGTCATATGCAAATACTGCACCATAAGCACCATATGTACTCACCAGCAAATTGGTATTAACGGATCAACACCTCAGTGGACATATAGGAATAACATTTATCTGGTGTCGGACAGGTGGGAGGGGGGGAGGGAGGGATGGGTGTATACAAACACAATGCATGAGATGTGCAACGTTTGGGGGATGGTCACGCTTGAGGCTCTGACTCAAAGGGGGAGGGGGACATGGGCAATATATGTAACCTTAACACTTGTACCCCCATAATACGCTAAAATATATATTAAAAAAAAAAAAAAAGAAACTTGAACACCTCTGGATTTTGGTATCTACAGGAGGTCCTGGAACCAATCTCCCACAGATTCCAAGAGACTTTACTTTTCATGCCAAAGTCTAAGAACTACTGGAATAGACAAACATAGTGGCTACAGTGCAAATGACCGGTTCATAGCATGCTGTCTTTAAGACAACTATCAAATTCCTGGAGCACATGGGGAACACTGACTTTTGAAGAATTTATATTTGTTAGAGTTTTATTATACTCTGTGTTACCATTTGCTATTTATAACCTTAAAATATAAGTTGTAATAGCTCTGCTTTTTCTTGTGTGGATTAAGCAAGTTTGTAATGTCTCAGCTGGACAATATTTCCAGGGACAAAGTGTTTTTGTATATACGTAGGCATGATCATAGAAGGTACAGTGATGTGAGTTAAATTCTTATTTATAAGCCTTAAAATTCCTAACATCTCACTGTACTACATGCAGTTTATTCTTGCTCATTAAGAGGTATACGGAGTGAGCAAATTTTAAAGATTATCTATTTTATTTAAGGAAGCAAAACTAAGATTTGCAGGCATCTTTTCTGTAACGCATTGCAGAAATAGAACACATGATGCTTACCAAGTACCTACAAGAAATCTCTCTTTCCACAAACAAGGGTGCTTGCTTACTGTTTAATGTTGCCATTAGAGCACAGAGACGTAACAACTGACCCTATCAAACAGTGATAAAATAGTTAAAACTGTGTACATCTCGTGGCCCATTTTCTCTTCTTTGGAGGACACAATAAAAAAAAATCCTGAACAAACAACTTTTCACTGTTAAGGAAATAGCCATGTTTCAGACTTGTGGGCAAACATTAGATTTCGGGGGGAAAAAGTCATACTGCAAACAAATTACTGGATTTAAGTAATATCTGAAAGTCATTCAATCATTCATTTATTCATCAAATATTTATCGGGTGCTTACTATGCTGCCAACACTGTTCTGTGTTCTGAGACTATAGCAGAAGGCAAAATATATCATCTTC